AGATATACATGCACTAGGAGCATTGGTGCAGATATACATCACTAGTAAATCATCAGTAGCAGCAATATAATCACTATAGCATCAGTCAGTGCAGATATACATCTATAGTTAGGCATCATCAGCAGTATACATCACTAGTAGGCAATCAGAGGGGCAGATATACATCACTAGTAGCAGCGATCAGCAGGCAGAATATACACTCGCAGCTAGTAGCATCAGGCATCAGATATACATCACTATTTAGGCATCAGGCAGGCAGATATAGCATCACTAGTAGCATCAGTCAGCAGATATACATCCTAGTAGCATTGGGTAGGCATATCCGCCATCAGCAGGGGCCGATATACATCACTATACATCAGCAGTAGATATACATCCTAGTATGGCATCATCAGCAATATACATCATAGTAGCATCAGTAGCAGATATACATCACTAGTATCATCAAGTGCACAGATATACATGCACTAGTAGGGCATCAGTAGGCAGATATCATCACTATGGTACCATCAGCAGCAGATATACATTCACTAGTATCATCAGTAGCAGATATACATCACTATAGCATCAGGCAGGCAGATATACATCACTATAGCGGTCAGCAGTAGGCAGATATAGGCATCACTAGTAGGCATTGGTAAGGCAGATCTAGGCATCACTATGTAGCAATCAATCAGGCAGATATACATCACTAGTAGCATGCAGCAGCAGAAATTTATCCAGTCACTAAGTAGGGGCATTGGGAGCAGATACCGCATCGGGCAGGCAGATATACATCACTAGTAGCATCAGTAGGTGCAGATATACATCACTATAGCATCAGGCAGCAATATACATCACTAGTAGCATCAGTATCAGATATACAACATCACTAGTAGGCATCAAGCAGCAGATAGACATAACTAGTAGGGGCATCAATGTAGCAGATATAAAATCACTAGTGGCACATCAGCATGCAGATTATACATCACTATATGCATGCAAGTAGCAGATATAGGCATCACTAGTAGCATCAGCAGCAGATTATACATCACTGTAGCATCAGAGTAGCATATATCATCACTAGTCGCATTGAGTAGGCAGAGATTACATCACTAGTAGCATCATCAGCAGATATACATCACTAGTAGCATCAGCAGCAGATATACATCACTAGTGGCATTGGTAGCAGATCCGCATCAGCAGCAGATATACATCACTAAGTAGCATCAGTAGGAGCATATAATCACTAGTAGCATCAGCAGCAGATATACATCACTAGTAGCATCAGCAGCAGATATACATCACTAGTAGCATCAGCAGCAGATATACATCACTAGTAGCATTGGTAGCAGATCCGCATCAGCAGCAGATATACATCACTAGTAGCATTGGTAGCAGATATACATCACTAGTAGCATCAGCAGCAGATATACATCACTAGTAGCATCAGCAGCAGATATACATCACTAGTAGCATCATCAGCAGATATACATCATAGTAAGGCATCAGTAGCAGATCTAGCATCACTAGTAAGCAATCAGCACAGATATACATCACAGTAGCATCAGCACAGATATATCATCACTTAGCATCAGCAGCATATATACCACATCACTAGTAGCTCGGGCAGTGCAGATATACAATCACTAGTAGTCCTGGGTAGCATCTCTCGCATCAGCAGGGGCAGATATACATCACTAGTACATCAGGCAGTAGATATAGCAATCACTAGTAGGCATCATCAGCAGATATCATCACTAGTAGCATCAGTAGCAGATATAGCATCAGCTAGTAGCATCAGGCAGAGGCAGATATACAATCACTAGTAGCATCAGTAGGCAGATATACATCACTAGTACCATCAGCAGCAGATATACATCACTAGTAGCATCAGTAGGCAGATATACATACACTAGTAGGGGCATCAGGGGGCAATCCAGATATACATCACTAGTTCGGCATCAGTAGCAGATATACATCACTAGTAGCATTGGTAGCAGATATACATCACTAGTAGCATCATCAGCAGATATACATCACTAGTAGCATCAGCAGCAGATATACATCACTAGTAGCATTGGTAGCAGATCCGCATCAGCAGCAGATATACATCACTAGTAGCATCAGTAGCAGATATACATCACTAGTAGCATCAGCAGCAGATATACATCACTAGTAGCATCAGTAGCAGATATACATCACTAGTAGCATCAGCAGCAGATATACATCACTAGTAGCATTGGTAGCAGATCCGCATCAGCAGCAGATATACATCACTAGTAGCATTGGTAGCAGATATACATCACTAGTATCATCAGCAGCAGATATACATCACTAGTAGCATCAGCAGCAGATATACATCTATAGTAGCATCATCAGCAGATATACATCACTAGTAGCATCAGTAGCAGATATACATCACTAGTAGCATCAGCAGCAGATATACATCACTAGTAGCATCAGCAGCAGATATACATCACTAGTAGCATCAGCAGCAGATAATATACATCACTAGTAGCATTGGTAGCAGATATACATCACTAGTAGCATCAGCAGCAGATATACATCACTAGTAGCATCAGCAGCAGATATACATCACTAGTAGCATCAGTAGCAGATATAAATCAATAGTAGCATCAGTAGCAGATATACATCACTAGTAGCATCAGTAGCAGATATACATCACTAGTAGCATCAGTAGCAGATATACATCACTAGTAGCATCAGTAGCAGATATACATCACTAGTAGCATTGGTAGCAGATATACATCACTAGTAGCATCAGTAGCAGATATACATCACTAGTAGCATCAGCAGCAGATATACATCACTAGTAGCAAAAGCAGCAGATATACATCACTAGTAGCATCAGCAGCAGATATACATCACTAGTAGCATCAGCAGCAGATATACATCACTAGTAGCAAAAGCAGCAGATACACAGTGCATTCGGAAAGTACTCAGACCCCATGACTTCTTCCACATTTTGTTACATTACAGCTTTATTCTACAATGGATTTTTTTTAAAATCCCTCATCAATCTACACACAATACCCCATAATGACACAGCAAAAAACAGGTTTTTAGAAATGTTTGCAAATTTATATAAAATATAAAACTGAAATATCACCTTTACATAATTATTCAGGCCCTTTACTCAGTACTTTGTTCAAGCACCTTTGGCAGCGATTACAGCCTCGAGTCCTCTTGGGTATGACGCTACAAGCTTGGCACACCTGTATTTGGGGAGTTTCTCCCATTCTTCTCTGCACATCCTCTCAAGCTCTGTCAGGTTGGATGGGGAGTGTCGCTACACAGCCTTTTCAGGTCTCTCCAGAGATGTTAGATCGGGTTCAAGTCTGGGCTCTGGCTGGGCCACTCAAGGACATTCAGAGACTTGTCCCGAAGCCACTCCTGCGTTGTCTTGGCTGTGTGCTTAGGGTCGTTGTCCTGTTGGAAGGTGAACATTCACCCCAGTCGGAGGTCCTGAGCACTTTGGAGCAGGTTTTCATCAAGGATCTCTTAGTACTTTGCTCCGTTCATCTTTCCCTCGATCCTGACTAGTCTTCCAGTCCCTGCCGCTGAAAAACATCCCCACAGCATGATGCTGACACCATCATGCTTCACCGTAGGGATGGTGCAAGGTTTCCTCCAGATGTGACGCTTGGCATTCAGGTCAAAGAGTTCAATTTTGGTTTCATCAGACCAGAGAATCTTGTTTCTCATGGTCTGAGAGTCCTTTAGGTGCCTTTTGGCATACTCGAAGTGGGCTGTCATTTGTCTTTTACTGAGGAGTGGCTTCCGTCTGGCCACTACCATAAAGGCCTGATTGGTGGAGTGCTGAAGAGAAGGTTGTCCTTCTGGAAGGTTCTCCCATCTCCACAGAGGAACTCTGGAGCTCTGTCAGAGTGACCATCGGGTTTCTTGGTCACCTCCCTGACCAAGGCCCTTTTCCCCCGATAATAATGGTACCTTGCCCAGTGAAGCAGTAATAATGGTACCTTGCCCAGTGAAGCAGTAATAAATGGTACCTTGCCCAGTGAGGCAGTAATAATGGTACCTTGCCCAGTGAGGCAGTAATAATGGTACCTTGCCCAGTGAACCAGTAATAATGGTACCTTGCTCAGTGAAGCAGTAATAATGGTACCTTGCCCAGTGAACCAGTAATAATGGTACCTTGCCCAGTGAAGCAGTAATAATGGTACCTTGCCCAGTAAACCAGTAATAATGGTACCTTGCCCAGTGAAGCAGTAATAATGGTACCTTGCCCAGTGAGGCAGTAATAATGGTAGCCCGGTGAGGCAGTAATAATGGTACCTTGCCCAGTGAAGCAGTAATAATGGTAGCCCGGTGAGGCAGTAATAATGGTACCTTGCCCAGTGAGGCAGTAATAATGGTACCTTGCCCAGTGAGGCACTAATAATGGTACCTTGCCCAGTGAGGCAGTAATAATGGTACCTTGCCCGGTGAGGCAGTAATAATGGTACCTTGCCCAGTGAAGCAGTAATAATGGTAGCCCGGTGAGGCAGTAATAATGGTACCATGCCCAGTGAGGCAGTAATAATGGTACCTTGCCCAGTGAGGCAGTAATAATGGTAGCCCAGAGAGGCAGTAATAATGGTAGCCCAGTGAGGCAGTAATAATGGTACCTTGCCCAGTTAGGCAGTAATAATGGTAGCCCGGTGAGGCAGTAATAATGGTACCTTGCCCAGTGAGGCAGTAATAATGGTACCATGCCCAGTGAGGCAGTAATAATGGTACCTTGCCCAGTTAGGCAGTAATAATGGTACCTTGCCCAGTGAGGCAGTAATAATGGTAGCCCAGAGAGGCAGTAATAATGGTACCTTGCCCAGTGAGGCAGTAATAATGGTACCATGCCCAGTGAGGCAGTAATAATGGTACCATGCCCAGTGAAGCAGTAATAATGGTACCTTGCCCAGTGAGGCAGTAATAATGGTACCTTGCCCAGTGAAGCAGTAATAATGGTACCATGCCCAGTGAAGCAGTAATAATGGTACCTTGCCCAGTGAAGCAGTAATAATGGTAGCCCAGTGAGGCAGTAATAATGGTACCATGCCCAGTGAGGCAGTAATAATGGTACCTTGCCCAGTGAGGCAGCACGGCCGGATCTTCTCAATGATATCCACACAGATGAGAGCGAAGAGCACCAGAGAGACGGGCAGCTCAGAGAAGTGGTCCTGTCTGTACTGTGGTCCCTTATCCACCTGCACCTGCATGGACCAACACAGAGCGAGATTGGGTTAGGGTTTAGGGCTAGGGGTTAAAGTTAGTGTTAGATGTCAGGGGTTAAGTTTAGAGCTAGGGTTAAGGCAGTTCAGAGAAGTGGTCCTGTCTGTACTGTGGTCCTTTAAGGGTTAGAGCTAAGGGTTAAGGTTAGGGTTGGGTTTAAGTTTAGGATTAGGGCTAGGATTAGGGCTAGGGGTTAAGGTTAGAGTTCAGGGGTTGGGGTTAGGGTTAAGGCAGCTCAGAGTATCTGTCCACCTGCACCTTGATCAACATAGACTGTCAGGAAAATGTCTTCTGTAACCACGTTTCCATCAAATTTTAATGCGAGTAAAGTCATACCTTAAAAAAAAGTAAACAGCCTGTCATGGAACCAGGAAGTTTTGGTACAATTTTATAAATGCTGACAGATAATTGGTTCATTCAACATGGTGGGATATTTTTGTGTCAGTGAAATTAATTATGCAAGAAATGGCAGCGGAAACACCTTTATGCGCAAATATTGATATAATAACCATCATATGGAGTAATGCGATATGGTGTGTGGTCCTCCCACTACAACTCTGGAAAGCATAGAGTTTATTAGGCTACAGATTAAATAAATGATGATGAACTTCACAGGGTGGTGAAAGGTCGTGATATATTGAGGGGCTGATTCTGGTGATATGATGATTGATGCTTGATTGCCGTTTGACAAAGAAAAATATTCTCGCCCTTATCCATAATAATCTCATGTAGACTATACCCACACAGCATCTGCCTGCTGTATATATATATATATATATATATATATATATATATATATATATATATATATATATATATATATAGGCATCTATATCCACACTGTATCTGCCTGCTGTGTATATATATATATATATATATATATATATATATAGGCATCTATATCCACACTGTACCTGCCTGCTGTTTATATATATATATATAGGCATCTATATCCACACTGTATCTGCCTGCTGTATATATATATATATACACAGTGAGGGAAAAAAGAATTTGATCCCCTGCTGATTTTGTACGTTTGCCCACTGACAAAGACATGATCAGTCTATCATTTTAATGGTAGGTTTATTTGAACAGTGAGAGACAGAATAACAACAAAATAATCCAGAAAAACGCATGTCTAAATTGTTATAAATTGATTTGCATTTTAATGAGGGAATTAAGTATTTGACCCCTCTGCAAAACATGACTTAGTACTTGGTGGCAAAACCCTTGTTGGCAATCACAGAGGTCAGATGTTTCTTGTAGTTGGCTACCAGGTTTGCACACATCTCAGGAGGGATTTTGTCCCACTCCTCTTTGCAGATCTTCTCCAAGTCATTAAGGTTTCGAGGCTGACGTTTGGCAACTCGAACCTTCAGCTCCCTCCACAAATGTTCTATGGGATTAAGGTCTGGCTAGGCCACTCCAGGACCTTCATGTGCTTCTTCTTGAGCCACTCCTTTGTTGCCTTGGCCGTGTGTTTTGGGTCATTGTCATGCTGGAATACCCATCCACGACCCATTTTCAATGCCCTGGCTGAGGGAACGAGGTTCTTACCCAAGATTTGACGGTACATGGCTCCGTCCATCGTCCCTTTGATGCGGTGAAGTTGTCCTGTCCCCTTAGCAGAAAAACACCCCCAAAGCAAAATCTTTCCACCTCCATGTTTGAAGGTGGGGATGGTGTTCTTGGGGTCATAGGCAGCATTCCTCCTCCTCCAAACACGGTGAGTTGAGTTGATGCCAAAGAGCACGATTTTGGTCTCATCTGACCACAACACTTTCACCCAGTTCTCCTCTGAATCATTCAGATGTTCATTGGCAAAATTCAGATGGCCCTGTATATGTGCTTTCTTGAGCAGGGGGACCTTGCGGGTGCTGCAGGATTTCAGTCCTTCACGGCGTAGTGTGTTACCAATTGTTTTCTTGGTGACTATGGTCCCAGCTGCCTTGAGATCATTGACAAGTTCCTCCTGTTTAGTTCTGGGCTGATTCCTCACCGTTCTCATGATCATTGCAACTCCACGAGCTGAGATCTTGCATGGAGCCCCAAGCCGAGGGAGAAAGAACAGTTATTTTGTGTTTCTTCCATTTGCGAATAATCGCACCAACTGTTGTCACCTTCTCACCAAGCTGCTTGGCGATGTTCTTGTAGCCCATTCCAGCCTTGTGTAGGTCTACAATCTTGTCCCTGACATCCTTGGAGAGCTCTTTGGTCTTGGCCATGGTGGAGAGTTTGGAATCTGATTGATTGATTGCTTCTGTGGACAGGTGTCTTTTATACAGGTAACAAGTTGAGCTTAGGAGCACTCCCTTTAAGAGTGTGCTACTAATCTCAGCTCGTTACCTGTATAAAAGACACCTGGGAGCCAGAAATCTTTCTGATTGAGAGGGGGTCAAATACTTATTTCCCTCATTAAAATGCAAATCAATTTATAACATTTTTTACATGCGTTTTTCTGGATTTTTTTTGTTGTTATTCTGTCTTTCACTGTTCAAATAAACCTACCATTAAAATTATAGACTGATCATTTCTTTGTCAGTGGGCAAACGTTCAAAATCAGCAGGGGATCAAATACTTTTTTCCCTCACTGTATATATAGGCATCTATATCCACACAGCCTACCCACACTGATTTTTATCTGCAACAAGTCAGTTTGGTGGAAACACCACTGGTGGGAAGAATTTGCATATTTTCTTTTAGCAGATTTATGAATATTCGCATGAAACTCTGTCGCCAACTGGATGGAAATCTAGCTATAGAGAGACACTGTCAGGAAAATGTCTTCATTGAGACACTGTCAGGAAAACGTCTTCATAGAGACACTGTCAGGAAAACGTCTTCATAGAGACACTGTCAGGAAAATGTCTTCATTGAGACACTGTCAGGAAAATGTCTTCATTGAGACACTGTCAGGAAAATGTCTTCATTGAGACACTGTCAGGAAAATGTCTTCATTGAGACACTGTCAGGAAAATGTCTTAATTGAGACACTGTCAGGAAAACGTCTTCATAGAGACACTGTCAGGAAAATGTCTTTATTGAGATAACGAGAAATCAAAAATCTTCGTTATAAGATTTTGGGCAGTGCTAAAACAACATTCCATATTATATTGTGATGGAACATTTTATGTTGGTGCTTTTTTTTCTATTTACCAATTTCTATGTTCTATGTTTGTGCTTTTCTATAAACCAATTTCTGTGTTCATGCAAGTGACTGATTGAACGAATCCTCACTACCAGTGTCTGCAATTTGGCAGTACGTCCAGAACCTTGTTTAGAGAAAGGGATATCTCAGTTTCAATGTCTCAGCTTAGAGAGAACAAGCCTCGTGAGGTATTGGTCTGTCACATGCATGACCCAGTATTGGTCAGTCACATGAATGAAGCGAATGTTAATGATTAATTAATTATGAATAAGCTAAATCATGCAAATATGACTTGTCAGTATATAAAGGAACTAACGGGACTGCCCCGTTAGAGCTCCAGACAGACATTCACTACAGTGCATCAAGTTGGTTGGAACCTCTCCAGCGTGCTGATAATAAACAATTATTCATTTAAGGTTGACTTCGAGTGTCCCTGTGTATGAATTTCCATGACAATATGAAGCCATCTGGTTTTATTAAAAGTCATAACACCCAGTAAGATCTCATTGAATGTCCTGAACTCCAGCGAAGGAGATACCATAAACAGGAATGTAGCTGATATACAGTGAGGGAAAAAAGTATTTGATCCCCTGCTGATTTTGTACGTTTGCCCACTGACAAAGAAATGATCAGTCTAATAATGTTAATGGTAGGTTTATTTGAATAGTGAAAGACAGAAGAACAACAGAAAAAACCAGAAAAACGCATGTCAAAAATGTTATAAATTGATTTGCATTTTAATGAGGGAAATAAGTATTTGACCCCCTCTCAATCAGAAAGATTTCTGGCTCCCAGGTGTCTTTTATACAGATAACGAGCTGAGATTAGGAGCACACTCTTAAAGGGAGTGCTCCTAATCTCAGCATGTTACCTGTATAAAATACACCTGTCCACAGAAGCAATCAATCAATCAGATTCCAAACTCTCCACCTTGGCCAAAACCAAAGAGTTCTCCATGGATGTCAGGGACAAGTATGTAAACCTACACAAGGCTGGAATGGGCTACAAGACCATCGCCAAGCAGCTTGGTGAGAAGGTGACAACAGTTGATGTGATTATTCGCAAATGTTAGAAACACAAAAGAACTGTCAATCTCCCTCGGCCTGGGGCTCCATGCAAGATCTCACCTCGTGGAGTTGCAATGATCATGAGAACGGTGAGGAATCAGCCCAGAACTACACGGGAGGATCTTGTCAATGATCTCAAGGCAGCTGGGACCATAGTCACCAAGAAAACAATTGGTAACACACTACGCCGTGAAGGATTGAAATCCTGCTGCGCCCGCAAGGTCCCCCCTGCTCAAGAAAGCACATATACAGGGCCGTCTGAAGTTTGCCAATGAACATCTGAATGATTCAGAGGAGAACTGGGTGAAAGTGTTGTGGTCAGATGAGACCAAAATCGAGCTCTTTGGCATCAACTCAACGTGTTTGGAGGAGGAGAAATGCTGCCTATGACCCCAAGAACACCATCCCCACCTTCAAACATGGAGGTGGAAACATTATGCTTTGGGGGTGTTTTTCTGCTAAGGGGACAGGACAACTTCACCGCATCAAAGGGACGATGGACGGGGCCATGTACCGTCAAATCTTGGGTGAGAACCTCCTTCCCTCAGCCAGGGCATTGAAAATGGGTCGTGGATGGGTATTCCAGCATGACAATGACCCAAAACACACGGCCAAGGCAACATAGGAGTGGCTCAAGAAGAAGCACATTAAGGTCCTGGAGTGGCCTAGCCAGTCTCCAGACCTTAATCCCATAGAAAATCTGTGGAGGGAGCTGAAGGTTCGAGTTGCCAAACGTCAGCCTCGAAACCTTAATAACTTGGAGAAGATCTGCAAAGAGGAGTGGAACAAAATCCCTCCTGAGATGTGTGCAAACCTGGTGGCCAACTACAAGAAACGTCTGACCTCTGTGATTGCCAACAAGGGTTTTGCCACCAAGTACTAAATCATGTTTTGCAGAGGGGTCAAATACTTATTTCCCTCATTAAAATGCAAATCAATTTATAACATTTTTTACATGCGTTTTCTGGATTTTTTTGTTGTTATTCTGTATCTCACTGTTCAAATAAACCTACCATTAAAATTATAGACTGATCATGTTGTCACGATCGTTTACGAACGAGAAGGACCAAGGCGCAGCGTGATATGCATTCATATTTATTAACGACTAAACACATGACAAAACAACAAACGAAACGTGAAGTCCAAGGTAGCATACACACAACATACCTTACACGGAACAAGATCCCACAACTAACAGGTGCCAAATGGCTGCCTAAGTATGGTCCCCAATCAGAGACAACGAGCTACAGCTGCCTCTGATTGGGAACCACCCCGGCCAACATAGATCTACACATTCTAGAACCATAGAAACAACATAACACGGAATATACACAACCTGACTCAACAAATAAACGTCCCCTGAGTCCCCCGGGACTCCGACCGCGCCACATAAACATAACAGGGTAGGGGCCGGGTGGGCATTCCGCCTCGGAGGCGGATCCGGCTCCGGGCGTGACCACCACTTACTCTCCACCTCCCTGTTGCGCCCATGGTCTGGTCTGGACCTCGACGTGCTGCTTCCCCTCTCCTTCCTCCCACGACGTACCAAGCCCTGTCTGGACCCTGGTGTGGGAGTCCCCGAACCTGGAGAGGGGCTGACGTCTGGGTCTGGACTGGAACCGCTGACTGGAGCTGGACCCGACGACGGTGGATCGAACTGCTCTGGCTCCGGAGTGGAGCCGCTGACCGGAGCTGGATCAGGCACCGGTGGAGCGGACTGCTCTGGCTCCGGAGTGGAGCGGCTGACCGGAGCTGGACTGGACCCCGGTGGAGCGGATTGCTCTGGCTCCGGAGTGAATACGCTGACCGGAGTAGGACTGGACCCCGGTGGAGCGGATTGCTCTGGCTCCGGAGTGGAGCAGCTGACCGGTGCCGGACCAGGCACCGGTGGAACAGGCACGGGCCGTGCCGGACTGGACACACGCACCACTGGCTTGGTGCGGGGAGCAGGAACGGACCGGGCTGACGACGCGCACCACTGGCTTGGTGCGGGGAGCAGGAACAGGCCGGGCCGGGCTGGCGACGCGCACCACTGGCTTGGTGTGAGGGGCAGGAACAGGCCGGACCGGGCTGGCGACGCGCACCACTGGCTTGGTGCGAGGGACAGGAACAGGCCGGACCGGGCTGGCGACACGCACCACTGGCTTAGTGCGGGAGCAGGAACAGGCCAGGCCGGGCTGGCGACGCGCACCACTGGCTTGGTGTGAGGGGCAGGAACAGGCCGGACCGGGCTGGCGACGCGCACCACTGGCTTGGTGCGAGGGACAGGAACAGGCCGGACCGGGCTGGCGACGCGCACCACTGGCTTAGTGCGGGGAGCAGGAACGGGCCGGACCGTACTGGGAACACACACCACTGGCTTAGTGCGGGGAGCAGGAACGGGTCGGGCCGTACTGGGAACACGCACCACTAACTTAGTGCGGGGAGCAGGAACGGGCCGGACCGTACTGGGAACACACACCACTGGCCTTGTGCGGGAAGCAGGAATGGGTCGGGCCGTACTGGGAACACGCACCACTGGTTTAGTGCAGGGAGCAGGAACGGGTCGGGCCGTACTGGGAACACGCACCACTAACTTAGTGCGGGGAGCAGGAACGGGCCGGACCGTACTGGGAACACACACCACTGGCCTTGTGCGGGAAGCAGGAATGGGTCGGGCCGTACTGGGAACACGCACCACTGGTTTAGTGCGGGGATCAGGAACGGGCCGGACCGGACTGGCGACACGCACCACTTTCTTGGTGCGAGAAGCGGGACTGGGTTCCCTTATAAACCCCCGCTCCTTCTGCTGCCTAACCAGCTCCTCTCGCCGTGCCTCTACACTCTCCTTCTCCCTTATAGCCTCCTGTAGCTCCTCCCTCTGACCAAATAACTCCTGCTCCCTCTGGACCAATAGCCCCCGTAACCTGGTGGCCTCCTCTCCTAACCTGCAGATCCGCCCTGTCGCTGCCTCCTGCTGCCTCGTCGTCCACACCGTGTGCCCCCCCCCCAAATTTTTATTGGGGTTGCCTCTCGGGTCTCCGTCGTCGGCACTGTTGGCGCCGTTTCTCCTCTCCTACCTGGGCATCCTCCTTCATCGCCTTCCGGTAGCGGACGGCCTCCTCCGTGATTCTCCCCCAAACGAGGAGGACATCTACTAACGTAACCTCCTGTTTAATTCCCAGCGTTTGTTCCTGAACACGCTGCTTGGTCCTATTTTGGTGGGATCTTCTGTCGCGATCGTTTACGAACGAGAAGGACCAAGGCGCAGCGTGATATGCATTCATATTTATTAATGACTAAACACACGACAAAACAACAAACGAAACGTGAAATCCAAGGTAGCATACACACAACATACCTTACACGGAACAAGATCCCACAACTAACAGGTGCCAAAAGGCTGCCTAAGTATGGTCCCCAATCAGAGACAACGAGCTACAGCTGCCTCTGATTGGGAACCACCCCTGCCAACATAGATCTACACATTCTAGAATCTACACCATAGAAACAACATAACACGGAATATACACACCCTGACTCAACAAATAAACGTCCCCTGAGTCAGGGCGTGACACATGTCTTTGTCAGTGGGCAAACTTACAAAATCAGCAGGGGATCAAATACTTTTTTCCCTCACTGTATTTTGTGACCAAGTGTTGGATATTCGGGTTAAGGTTAAAGTGAGAAGATTAAGGTGAGAAGGTTAGGGTTAGGGTGAGAAGGTTAGGGTTAGGGTGAGAAGGTGAGGGTTAGGGTGAGAAGGTTAGAGTTAGGGTGAGAAGGTGAGGGTTAGCGTGAGAATGTAATGACATGATGTAACCTTTGAGTTGTGTTTGAATTCCTGCTTCATTCCACCGGGGATCAGGTTAATAGTCAACCTGTTGTCTTCAGGATTGTTACCAAGTACCTGACTCCCCGTCACAGTCCTGTACGTGAGTGTGTGTGTGTGTGGTGTGTGTGTGTGTGTGTGTGTGTGTGTGTGTGTGTGTGTGTGTGTGTGTGAGTGAGTGAGTGAGTGTGTGTGTTTGGTCACTGTGGCCACATACTTCACTTACAAGAGAGTCATAAAGTCACGTGACACATTTATATAATGTAAGAAAAATATTTTTACCTTGGAACCGGCGATCAGAATAGAGAAGCATGGTAACGTGCACAGAATCACATAGGCCAATATTGTTGGTCTCCTGAAAAACAGCATGTTAGTCAAGGACATGTCCATACCACAACCCTTATCCTAACAGCATGTGAATGTAATGTATAATGCAATCTATAATGTATAATTGAATGTATGTGATGTATAATATATTATGTAATTTATAATGTATAATGAAATGTATAATGTGCAATGTATGATGTACTGTATTACTTAACGTATAATGCAAAGTGTAATGTATAAAGTATAATTTAATGAATAATATATAATGTATGTGATGGAGTGCATTTGGAAAGTATTCAGACCCCTTGACTCTTTCCACCCTTTATTATGTTACAGCCTTATTCTAAAATGGATTACATTGGTTTTCCCCTCATCAAACTACACACAATACCCCATAATGACAACCCTAACCCTAACCCTAATGATAACCCTAACCCTAATGATAACCCTAACCCTAATGATAACCCTAACCCTAATGATAACCCTAACCCTAATGATAACCCTAACCCTAATGATAACCCTAACCCTAATGATAACCCTAACCCTAATGATAACCCTAACCCTAATGATAACCCTAACCCTAATGATAACCCTAACCCTAACCCAATAATGACGAAGCATAAACTTTTTTAGAAAATGTTCCAAATGTGTGTGTGTGTGTGTGTGTGTGTGTGTGTATATATATATATATATATATATATATATATATATATATATATATATATATATATATATATATATACACACAGTGGGGAGAACAAGTATTTGATACACTGCCGAAAATCACATTGTATGATTTTTAAGTAATTAATTTGCATTTTATTGCATGACATAAGTATTTGATACATCAGAAAAGCAAAACGTAATATTTGGTACAGAAACCTTTGTTTGCAATTACAGAGATCATACGTTTCCTGTAGGTCTTGACCAGGTTTGCACACACTGCAGCAGGGATTTTGGCCCACTCCTCCATACAGACCTTCTCCAGATCCTTCAGGTTTCGGGGCTGTCGCTGGGCAATACGGACTTTCAGCTCCCTCCAAAGATTTTCTATTGGGTTCAGGTATGGAGACTAGCTAGGCCACTCCAGGACCTTGAGATGCTTCTTACGGAGCCACTCCTTAGTTGCCCTGGCTGTGTGTTTCGGGTCGGTGTCATGCTGGAAGACCCAGCCACAACCCATCTTCAATGCTCTTACTGAGGGAAGGAGGTTGTTGGCCAAGATCTCACGATACATGGCCCCATCCATCCTCCCCTCAATACGGTGCAGTCATCCTGTCCCCTTTGCATATATATATCTTCTAAGAGTTTATTTCGGGAGATGGTAACTCGTTAAACAACTTCTTCCGTGGTGCCCCAAATTCCTAATGAGTTAATTTAATCGAGTGACAATTAAACATAGTCGGTGATTCGAAAAATAACAGTCATACATTAAAGTAAGTCACGTCACAACAATGTGATGTAGAATGTATGTAATGTATAATATAATGTAATTTATCATGTATACTCTAATGTATAATGTAATGCATAATGTAATGTATAATGTATAATATATAATGTATGTGATGTATAATGTAATGTATAATGTATAATATATAATGTATGTGATGTATAATGTAATGTATAATGTATAATATATAATGTATGTGATGTATAATGTAATGTATAATATGTAAGGTATAATGCAAAGTGTAATGTATAATGTAATGTAATGAATAATATATAATGTATGTGATGTACAGTGCATTCAGAAAGTATTCAGAGCCCTTGACTTTTTCCACATTTTGTTACATTCAGCCTTATTCTAAAACTACACACAATACCCCATAATGACAAAGCAAAAACTGTTTTTTTAGAAATGTATTAAAAATAAAAGAATCTGAAATATAACATTTACATAAGTATTCAGAACCTTTACTCAGTACTTTGTTGAAGCACCTTTGGCAGCGATTACAGCCTCGAGTCTTCTTGGGTATGACGCTACAAGCTTGGCTCAGGTTGGATGGGGAGCGTCGCTGCACAGCTATTTTCAGGTTTCTACAGATATGTTAGATCGGGTTCAAGTCCGGGCTCAGGCTGGGCCACTCAAGGACATTCAGAGAATTGTCCCAAAGGCACTCCGAGCGCTGTCTTGACTGTGTGCTTAGGGTCGTTGTCCAGTTGGAAGGTGAACCTTGGCCCAAGTCTGAGGTCCTGAGTGCTCTGGAGCAGATTTTCATCAAGAATCTCTCTGTACTTTGCTCCGTTCATCTTTCCCTCGATCCTGACTAGTCTCCCAGTCCCTGCAGCTGAAAAACATCCCCAACATGCCACCACCATGCTTCACCGTAGGAATGGTGCCAGGTTTCCTCCAGACGTGATGCTTGACATTCAGGCCAAAGAGTTCAATCTTGGTTTCATCAGACCCAGAGTCTTTAGGTGCATTTCGGCAAACTCCAATCGGGCTGTCATGTGCCTTTTACTGACGAGTGGCTTCAATCTGGCCACTCTACCATGAAGGCCTGATTGGTGGAGTGCTGCAGAGATGGTTGTCCTTCTGGAAGGTTCTCCCATCTCCACAGAGGAACTCTGGAGCTCTGTCAGAGTGACCATCGGGTTCTTGGTCACCTTATATAGACAGGTGTGTGCCTTTCCAAATCATGTCCAATCAATTGAATTTACCACAGGTGGACTCCAATCAAGTTGTAGAAATATCTCAAGGATGATCAATGGAAACAGGATGCACCTAAGCTCAATTTCGAGTCTCATAGCAATGTGTAAATAGGGTAATTCCGTTTTTTATGTTTAATTCATTTGCAAACTTTCTAAAAACCTGTTTTTGTATTGCGTGTATTGTGTGTAGATTGATGAGGAAAAAATGTATTTTAATACATTTCAGAATAAGACTAATGTAACAGAATGTGGAAAAAGTTGAGGGGTCTGAATACTTTCCGAAGGCACTGTATATGGTCATGTATCATGTATAATGTAGTATATAATGTAATATGTAATGTATAATGTACTGTTATGTATAATGTCATATATAATGTATAATGCACAACATAATTCATCTGATCTCTGATATTACACAGGTACTCAAGGAGTAGGAAGAGCAAGGGGGGGGGGGGGGGGGGCTGATCTCTGATATTACACAGGTACTCAAGGAGTAGGAGAAGGAAGAGCAGGGGGGCTGATCTCTGATATTGCACAGGTACTCAAGGAGTAGGAGAAGGAAGAGCAGGGGGGGGGGGCTGATTTCTGATATTACACAGGTACTCAAGGAGTAGGAGAAGGAAGAGCAGGGGGGGGCTGATCTCTGATATTACACAGGTACTCAAGGAGTAGGAGAAGGAAGAGCGGGGGGGGGGCTGATCTCTGATATTACACAGGTACTCAAGGAGTAGGAGAAGGAAGGGCAGGGGGGGCTGAACTCTGATATTACACAGGTACTCAAGGAGTAGGAGAAGGAAGAGCAGGGGGGGCTGAACTCTGATATTACACAGGTACTCAAGGAGTAGGAGAAGGAAGAGCAGGGGGGGCTGAACTCTGATATTACACAGGTACTCAAGGAGTAGGAGAAGGAAGAGCAGGGGGGGCTGAACTCTGATATTACACAGGAACTCAATGAGTAGGAGAAGGAAGAGCAGGGGGGATGAACTGACATTACACAGGACTGTATAATATAAAGTATAATGTAATGCATAATATATAATGTATAATGTAATGTAAAATATAATGTATAATATAATGTAATTTATAATGTATAATGTGTAAACTATATTTCCCTTTTTTATCTTTTTGATAAATGTCAAGTTATCACCTCTAAAATGTCAATAAAATACTATAAAGAGTTTATATAATGTCTCATTACATACAATGCATTCTAAAGTATTCAGACCCCTTCCCCACATTTTGTTACATTTCAGCCGTATTCTAAAATTGATGAAATTATTTATTTCCTTCATCAATTTACACACAACACATAATGACAAACCAAAAACAGTTTTTTAGAAAGTGTAGCAAACAAATAAATCATAATATCACATTTACATAATTATTCAGTATTCAGACCCTTTACTCACCCTTTCTTCTACTCTCAACCTCTCCGATCATTTTCATGATGTCCATCCGGTTACTCAGTACTTTGTTGAAGCACCTTTGGCAGCGATTACAGCCTAGAGTCTTCTTGGGTATGACGCTACAAGCTTGGCACACCTGTGGCGTTTCTCCCATTCTTCTCTGCAGATCCTGTCAAGCTCTGCCAGGTTGGATGGGGAGCATCGCTGCACAGCTATTGTCAGGTCTCTCCAGAGATGTTTGATCGGGTTCAGGTCGGGCTCTGGCTGGGCCACTCAAGGACACTCCCACAGCATGTTGCTGCCACCACTATGCTTCACCATAGGGATGGTGTCAGGTTTCCTCCAGATGTGACGCTTGGCATTCAGGCCAAAGAGTTCAATCTCGGTTTCATCATACCAGAGAATCTTGTTTCTCATGGTCTGAGAGTCCTTTAGGTGCCTTTTGGCAAACTCCAAGCGGGCTGTCATGTGCCTTTTACTGACGAGTGGCTTCCATCTGGCCACTATACCATAAAGGCCTGATTGGTGGAGTGCTGCAGAGATAGTTGTCCTTCTGGAAGGTTCTCCCATCTCCACAGGGGAACTCTGGAGCTCTGTCAGAGTGACCATCGGGTTCTTGGTCACCTCCCTGACTACGGCCCTTCTCCCCCGACTGCTCAGTTTGGCCAGGTGGCCAGCTCTAGGAAGAGTCTTGGTGATTCCAAACTTCTTCCATTTAAGAATGATGGAGGCCACTGTGTTCGTTGGGACCTTCAATGCTGCATAAATTGTTTGGTACCCTTCCCCAGATCTGTGCCTCAACACAGTCCTGTCTCGGAGCTCTACGGACAATTCCTTTGTCCTCATGGCTTGGTTTTGCTCTAACATGCACTATCAACTGTGGGATCTTATATAGACAGGTGTGTGCCTTTCCAAATCATGTCCAATCAATTGAATTTGCCACAGGTGGACTCCAATCAAGTTGTAGAAACATCTCAAGGATGATCAATGAAAACAGGATGCACCGGAGCTCAATTTCGAGTCTCATAGCAAAGGGTCTGAATACTTATGTAAATAAGGTATTTGTTTTATATTTTTAATACATTTGCAAATATTTCTAAAAACATGTTTTCACTTTGTCACTATGAGGTACTGTGTGTAGATTGATGAGGAAAAAAGGTATTTGATCCATTTTATAATAAGGCTGTAACGTAACAAAATGTGGAAAAAGGGAAGATGTCTGAATCCTTTCCGAATGCACTGAATAATGTAATGCATAATCTAATGTACTCACCACTGCGTGATGTCTGTGATGACCGTGCGCTGCTTGAGGACAAGGTACCGGAGAGGAACCCAGACTAGCAGAGATACAGAGGTAACGTAGGCCATGGAAGCTGCTACCACCAGCCAATAGGCAGTCAGATCTCCTCTGACATGGAGCATCAGGGAAGCAAACCTCTCCATCACCACGAACATTGGAACACTGAGACAAGAGACCTCTAACACCTCGTACACCACCAGCTTGATCATCCGCCCTGATGGCATCTTGTCTGTAACCCTTGTCCCCCAGAGTTTAGAACCAGCCCCTTCCTTTATCAACCTCTCAAAACCAGTCTGGTCTGAAACCCTTTCAATTCTCTGTCTGGTCTGAAACTACTCCTGTTCTGTCTGACTGGAGCAGAAACCAGTGACCCCTCCTGTGGACTCTGCTCACCAACTATGCTTACACATCACTGGTCAGCATCACACTACTCGGGGAATCGTATACTTTTATTACCAAGGCAATGAGGCAGTCACGCTCACCTTTTTATGGTGTCACAAAAAGAAGCAGTCTAAGGGGAAAAATATTGTTGAACATTACCAGTGTCAACTAGATTATCTATCCCAAACTAGAACATTATTAATGTCAACTACATTACCTATCCTAACATAGAACATTATTAATGTCAACTACATTACCTATCCTAACATAGAACATTATTAATGTCAACTACATTACCTATCCTAACATAGAACATTACCAATGTCAACTGCAGTACCTATCCTAATGTAGAACATTATTAATGTCAACTACATTACCCATCCTAACATAGAACATTATTAATGTCAACTACATTACCTATCCTAACATAGAACATTATTAATGTCAACTACATTACACATCCTAACATAGAACATTATTAATGTCAACTACATTACCCATCCTAACATAGAACATTATTAATGTCAACTACATTACCCATCCTAACATAGAACACTACCAATGTCAACTACATTACCTATCAACCTAGAACATTATTAATGTCAACTACATTACCTATCCTAACATACAGTGGGGAAAAAAAGTATTTAGTCAGCCACCAATTGTGCATGTTCTCCCACTTAAAAAGATGAGAGAGGCCTGTAATTTTCATCATATGTACACGTCAACTATGACAGACAAATTGAGGAAAAAAAAATCCAGAAAATCACATTGTAGGATTTTTTATGAATTTATTTGCAAATTATGGTGGAAAATAAGTATTTGGTCACCTACAAACAAGCAAGATTTCTGGCTCTCACAGACCTGTAACTTATTCTTTAAGAGGCTCCTCTGTCCTCCACTCATTACCTGTATTAATGGCACCTGTTTGAACTTGTTATCAGTATAAAAGACACCTGTCCACAACCTCAAACAGTCACACTCCAAACTCCACTATGGCCAAGACCAAAGAGCTGTCAAAGGACACCAGAAACAAAATTGTAGACCTGCACCAGGCTGGGAAGACTGAATCTGCAATAGGTAAGCAGCTTGGTTTGAAGAAATCAACTGTGGGAGCAATTATTAGGAAATGGAAGACATACAAGACCACTGATAATCTCCCTCGATCTGGGGCTCCACGCAAGATCTCACCCCGTGGGGTCAAAATGATCACAAGAACGGTGAGCAAAAATCCCAGAACCACACGGGGGGACCTAGTGAATGACCTGCAGAGAGCTGGGACCAAAGTAACAAAGCCTTCCATCAGTAACACACTACGCCGCCAGGGACTCAAATCCTGCAGTGCCAGACGTGTCCCCCTGCTTAAGCCAGTACATGTCCAGGCCCGTCTGAAGTTTGCTAGAGTGGATGATCCAGAAGAGGATTGGGAGAATGTCATATGGTCAGATGAAACCAAAATATAACTTTTTGGTAAAAACTCAACTCGTCGTGTTTGGAGGACAAAGAATGCTGAGTTGCATCCAAAGAACACCATACCTACTGTGAAGCATGGGGGTGGAAACATCATGCTTTGGGGCTGTTTTTCTGCAAAGGGACCAGGACGACTGATCCGTGTAAAGGAAAGAATGAATGGGGCCATGTATCGTGAGATTTTGAGTGAAAACCTCCTTCCATCAGCAAGGGCATTGAAGATGAAACGTGGCTGGGTCTTTCAGCATGACAATGATCCCAAACCCACCACCCGGGCAATGAAGGAGTGGCTTCGTAAGAAGCATTTCAAGGTCCTGGAGTGGCCTAGCCAGTCTCCAGATCTCAACCCCATAGAAAATCTTTGGAGGGAGTTGAAAGTCTGTGTTGCCCAGCGACAGCCCCAAGACATCTAGAGGAGATCTGCATGGAGGAATGGGCCAAAATACCAGCAACAGTGTGTGAAAACCTTGTGAAGACTTACAGAAAACGTTTGACCTGTGTCATTTCCAACGAAGGGTATATAACAAAGTATTGAGAAACGTTTGTTATTGACCAAATACTTATTTTCCACCATAATTTGCAAATAAATTCATAAAAAATCCTACAATGTGATTTTCTGGATTTTTTTCCCTCAATTTGTCTGTCATAGTTGACGTGTACCTATGATGAAAATTACAGGCCTCTCATCTTTTTAAGTGGGAGAATTTGCACAATTGGTGGCTGACTAAATACTTTTTTTCCCCACTGTAGAACATTATTAATGTCAACTACATTACCTATCAACCTAGAACATTATTAATGTCAACTACATTACCCATCCTAACATAGAACATTATTAATGTCAACTACATTACCCATCCTAACATAGAACATTACCAATGTCAACTACATTACCCATCCTAACATAGAACATTATTAATGTCAACTACATTACCTATCCTAACATAGAACATTACCAATGTCAACTGCAGTACCTATCAACCTAGAACCCTATCAGTGTAAAACGAAAAGCCAGTCATGGTCAGAAATACAGAAATTATATAGTAAACCACAATATTCTGGACATTTGGCTTTTAGTTTTATTGATAATACCAATTAATAAGTATGGTTAAAAGAGTAAATATTAACGGATGGGTACATTTAACAGAACCTTTACAACTATCATGTTTGAAAGGTAAACCCATAGAGATCCTATTAAACAACAGTTAAACCAGGCATGAAGTTTCCATCAGTGTTGATGACCCAGATGATACAGGACTGGCTCCTAAGTCCCAAGGTTGATGCTACATTATACTGTCATCATAGGATCTGTTACATGCGCCGAGTAGCAGGGATGTATGGACCAGAGCTAGGGGGTAGTAGATGATGTAGTGACAGTATGGACCAGAGCTAGGGGGTAGTAGATGATGTAGTGACAGTATGGGCCAGAGCTAGGGGGTAGTAGATGATGTAGTGACAGTATGGACCAGAGCTAGGGGGTAGTAGAGGCTGTAGTGACAGTATGGACCAGAGCTAGGGGGTAGTAGAGGCTGTAGTGACAGTATGGACCAGAGCTAGGGGGTAGTAGATGATGTAGTGACAGTATGGACCAGAGCTAGGGGGTAGAAGAGGCTGTAGTGACAGTATGGACCAGAGCTAGGGGGCAGTACAGGACGTAGTGACAGTATGGACCAGAGCTAGGGGGTAGTAGAGGCTGTAGTGACAGTATGGACCAGAGCTAGGGGGTAGTAGAGGCTGTAGTGACAGTATGGACCAGAGCTAGGGGGCAGTACAGGACGTAGTGACAGTATGGACCAGAGCTAGGGGGTAGTAGAGGCTGTAGTGACAGTATGGACCAGAGCTAGGGGGTAGTAGAGGCTGTAGTGACAGTATGGACCAGAGCTAGGGGGTAGTAGAGGCTGTAGTGACAGTATGGACCAGAGCTAGGGGGTAGTAGAGGCTGTAGTGACAGTATGGACCAGAGCTAGGGGGTAGTAGATGATGTAGTGACAGTATGGACCAGAGCTAGGGGGTAGTAGAGGCTGTAGTGACAGTATGGACCAGAGCTAGGGGGCAGTAGAGGTCATTCCCCAGACATGAAATGACAGGATTCTTAAGGTGTATGAACACAACCTATTTCTCAGTTCTATTTCAGATAAATACGGTCAGAGGACAGTCTATACGGGGTAGTTAGGGTCAGATAAATACGGTCAGAGGACAGTCTATACGGGGTAGTTAGGGTCAGATAAATACGGTCAGAGGACAGTCTATACGGGTTAGTTAGGGTCAGATAAATACGGTCAGAGGACAGTCTATACGGGGTAGTTAGGGTCAGATAAATACGGTCAGAGGACAGTCTATACGGGGTAGTTAGGGTCAGATAAATACGGTCAGAGGACAGTCTATACGGGGTAGTTAGGGTCAGATAAATACGGTCAGAGGACAGTCTATACGGGGTAGTTAGGGTCAGATAAATACGGTCAGAGGACAGTCTATACGGGGTAGTTAGGGTCAGATAAATACGGTCAGAGGACAGTCTATAAGGGGTAGTTAGGGTCGAATAAATACGGTCAGAGTTACGGGGTAGTTAGGGTCAGATAAATACGGTCAGAGGACAGTCTATACGGGGTAGTTAGGGTCAGATAAATACGGTCAGAGGACAGTCTATACGGGGTAGTTAGGGTCAGATAAATACGGTCAGAGGACAGTCTATACGGGGTAGTTAGGGTCAGATAAATACGGTCAGAGGACAGTCTATACGGGGTAGTTAGGGTCAGATAAATACGGTCAGAGGACAGTCTATACGGGGTAGTTAGGGTCAGATAAATACGGTCAGAGGACAGTCTATACGGGGTAGTTAGGGTCAGATAAATACGGTCAGAGGACAGTCTATACGGGGTAGTTAGGGTCAGATAAATACGGTCAGAGGACAGTCTATACGGGGTAGTTAGGGTCAGATAAATACGGTCAGAGGACAGTCTATACGGGGTAGTTAGGGTCAGATAAATACGGTCAGAGGACAGTCTATACGGGGTAGTTAGGGTCAGATAAATACGGTCAGAGGACAGTCTATACGGGGTAGTTAGGGTCAGATAAATACGGTCAGCGGACAGTCTATACGGGGTAGTTTAGGGTCAGATAAATACGGTCAGCGGACAGTCTATACGGGGTAGTTAGGGTCAGATAAATACGGTCAGAGGACAGTCTATACGGGGTAGTTAGGGTCAGATAAATACGGTCAGAGGACAGTCTATACGGGGTAGTTAGGGTCAGATAAATACGGTCAGAGGACAGTCTATACGGGTTAGTTAGGGTCAGATAAATACGGTCAGAGGACAGTCTATACGGGGTAGTTAGGGTCAGATAAATACGGTCAGAGGACAGTCTATACGGG